AGAGAGAGAGAGAGAGAGAGAGAGAGAGAGAGAGAGAGAGAGAGAGAGAGAGAGAGAGAGAGAGAGGGCTGATGTGTTGGCTGGTAGCTGTGGCTGAGATTGTGGAAAAGGGGGGGTCATGGCAGCACCATCTGGAGTGCTTGTTACCTGATTGAGGCTTTGAGCCAAGAACTGCATAGTTGTGGAATTATATGGGTCAGCGCCACCAAGCCCTTGGTTGAGGGTAGATGGGATTTGAACGAATTCTTCTGTCGTTGTTGATGCGTTTCCAAATGTGGTAGTTACTTGGATGGAGAGGCAATTCGAGGTATTGATAGGCTCAAGGCAGTATAGGATGCGGAATACTTTTTGAAAGCAGTGCCCTAATGATGCCATGACTAACATCTTGGTCCCTTTATCGATTGTTTGCCTGTGTTATTTCTTTCCGTCTGTTTCGCTTCGTCTCTGTCCTTTCCTCACTCACTGTTCTTCCCCTGTTCTGCTCCTTCGCCCTCCATGAGTCCATCCCATTCCTCCATCTTGGTGGATGGCGTTGAATGGCAGGCCTTTGTCTGATGAGGAGCTGGATGCTATGTTTCCACAGGAGGGCTATAAAATCTTGGAACCGCCAGCAAGCTATGTGCCTATCCGGACCCCAGCCAGGAAGCTGCTCGCAACACCGACCCCTGTTGGTGGCACTCCTATGTATCAGATACCAGTGGAGGACCGTACTCAGCAGTTTGATGTGCCCAAAGACGCTCCTGGAGGCTTGCCTTTCCTGAAGCCCGAAGATTACCAATACTTTGGCTCTCTCTTGAACGAGAAGGAAGACGAAGAAATGAGCCCGGACGAGGCCAAAGAGCGAAAGATTATGAAATTGCTCCTTAAGGTCAGTTGCCAATTTCTGATGTACCCTCGATGCACGCCCACCTCTTGATCAGGGAAGCCGTGCCGACTTGCATGGGTGTGTGCCGTGTGCTGTATTGTTGTCTCCGATGCACTCCCACCTCTTTATAAGGGAAAACGTGCTGACTTGCATGGGTGTGCCGTGTGCTGTATTATTATCTCCGATGCACGCCCACCTCTTTACGAGGGAAAACGACGAAAAACGTGCAGACTTGCATGAGTGTGCCGTGTGGTGTATTGTCATTATCTCATTGCCACCCGGTACTCCAGCAAATGGACGTGCCAAATGTAGAGCATGCTGAATATCTACCAGTGGTTAACTCTTTGTTAGACCCTTTCAGCACTAAAGAAGGTAACCGGACTGTCGCTCGCCCACATACCTACTGCTGGAACTTGTTTAAAACACCGCATTACATGCCTTCAAAAATGTGCAAGCTTCATTTCCCAAGTGCATTCCACATGATCCTTCACCATATATGCCTCTTCCTCACAGCGTACAAGTGGGCTGTTATGGCACACGGGGATGCGGTCACAGCTCGCACTCAACTTCATCAATGTGGCGGACCTTGTACGCGAGAGGCATAGTGAGAGGGGAGTTAAAAGAAGAATGATAAAAATGAATGGTTTCAGTGTGTGCTCTTCATGTTTGTCCTGCGTGTTTTCAGCGTTTGTTTCACAAAGTGCGCTCTTTTAGTTCATAGATCTGTGACAATATGTAGCTGAGTGGCCATGGGTGGGGCAGCGCGGTCAGCTGCAGGGTGTGTTTGCCATGATATGTCGTCTGTATGGTGGTTGTTTCGTTTGTTTCTGATCGTCACTGTAATCGGGTTGTTGTTCGACTCCTGGGTTTCCTAAAACTTGGGTCTTTTTCGATCACATTGGATTCATTGACGGTATTGGCAAAGGTTGGGCCAAAAAAGAAAGATTGTCAGAGTTAGAGAAAGTTGCGAGCTTTTCCCACAGTCCATCAGCTTTTGACCGTAGTGAAGCCGAGGTGGAAACGACAGCTTGTCAGACGATAGAAGGGACATCCCAGCTTAGGAGTGTTTCACTCGTTCTGTTTTGTGCTAATCGTGGAGTCATAATTAGAGCCAGGTAAATTTGTGAAAGCGTGGCTGTTACTTCGCTGGATGGCCACTTTGTGTAGCTTAGGACCGCCGTTGCCTGTCAGACAGTCATGAAAATGACCTGCCAGCTACTGTCTTCAGCCGAATAGAACGCCCGGTAATTATCGCCCTACCTGGGTTGAAAGTTGTGCCAAATAGAGCTATAATGACCGGGCGTTCTATTCGGGTGAAGACGGTAGACATTGGCCATGGTTGTGAGGGTCTCAAAAGTGGAGGTCCTGCAGTGAGCAACAGCCACGGCTTCCTGCGTGCAATTCTTTCTGTATTTCTGTGACAATAAGAGAAAGAGTATACGCTGGCAGGTGGAGAAGGTAGGGGGTTAAGGGGGGTGTCAAGGGAGGATCAGGGGAATGGATATAGAAGGGAAACTCGTGGATGCGGGGGGGTTGGTCAACGGATTTGGTGTTAAGGGAGGGTATTAATGGGCATGATGTCAACGACTCAACGGTGTTAAGGGAGGGCTAAGAATGCGCTGATAACAAGGCGGAATTTCAACACTCCGAATTTCAACACTCCAAATGTGTTTAAGCCTTAAGGGGAAGATGGGTTAAGGATGCAGGCGGTTTAAACCACCAGTCTATGTGAACCTTGTTTTTATGACCCGCTATGCTGACGACTGTAAAAGTAATGAACTAGCACAGGCACAACATTGCCAGCCACCGCAAGCCTGTCCGATTCTGAGGTGCGTTAACTGCCATTGGAATGAGATAGCTGGGCAATCTACTGATACTTTAAAGGGGTCCAATCCACCAGTCTGTGCGAGCCTCGTTTTCCCGACCCGCTCTCCAATGCAGAACCGGCACAGGTGTGAAATTGCCAGGTGCTGCCGGCCTTTTCTGTCCGGCAGGCCTGATCTGCAATTTTGAGGCGGGTTAACCGCCGATTCAGAACAAGGTTGCTGGGAAATGGACTGGCGGTTTACGCAAGGATTGGTGAAGGGGTAGAATGCAGGCGGTGATTTGGTGGGGAATCTTTCCTCTGTTTCTCTTGGGGTCGAACAGGGGTAGCATTGGGGGGTGGTGTGGTGGGGAAATCTTATCGGGGGTGTAGATTAGCCACCTGCATTTACAAAAGAACACATTGAAACAAAACTTGAAAAAAGACATGGCATGAAATGTCAGACATTGCACCTTATTTGTTTGTTCACCATGCTCCATGCTATAAGTGCCGTTCTTGCATGTGAGAAGTCTCTCTCTCTCTCTCTCTCTCTCTCTCTCTCTCTCTCTCTCTCTCTCTCTCTCTCTCTCTCTCTCTCTCTCTCTCTCTTCCGTACTCCTTCCGTATCATTACTCTCTTCTCTTCTTGCCCTCTCTTGTTTACCACTCCTGACTCCTGACTATCTGCACCCCCCTCCAACCTCCCTATTCCCCTTTTGACAGTTATGTCAAGCGATGCGAAGGGGTTAATTGAGGTGTGCATGATGTTCATCCTGTGTGCAGGTCAAGAATGGCTCTCCTCCTCAGCGGAAGACGGCTCTTAGGCAGCTCACCGACAAAGCGCGGGAATTCGGTGCTTGGGCGCTATTCAATCAGATATTGCCTCTGCTCATGTCTCCTACTCTGGAAGATCAGGAGCGGCATCTTCTTGTCAAGGTCCGCAGACTGCTCATACCTGTTTTACAGTTTATAACAAAGGAATGGTGCATGTGTTGGGTCGTCCTGCCTCAGAAGATTCGAGCACAATAGATAGAATGTCACCATCACTGTTTCAACATCTCGGATTCTACTTTTTGCTGTTCATTAGCCTCAGATAGTACTATATGTTATCAGAAGCTGGACACTAGCAGAGTGAAATGGCCACAAGCAGCATGACAAACTTAGCAGATACGCTGCAGTCGTGCAATCCCTGAGCTATGTTACCAGTACATGAACCCTTGTACAGAACGAGAAACAGCTCATTCACTAAATAGTGAGGTCTGGTGTGCATCCATGTCGCTCGGGCTATCTCTCACCGCTACATAGGTGAAAATAGAGATGCGGGTACAAAATCCAGACCATGAACAAAGCTATGAGGTGCTGGGTATTGCAGTAGAGCAGATGGTAGCGGTTGCGTGTTCATGATCTAAAGAACCTTGAAGATGCACAAAGTTCGGGACATTGGACTACCCACATGGATCTGCAGTTCACAAGATTTGGTGGCGTTTGCTGCGGGTGGGGGCCCGTCTACTTGCTGGTTGCCGTGGGCCGTGTGCCAAATTCAGTGGCCTGTCGTGGGGGGGTTGCTATAAAATTAGGATGTGTGGCGTTCAAATATCACGCTGAGCCATTGCCGTGTGGCACTCGAATGATTGCTCAGTGCAGCCATTACTCGGCGCTTGGAAGCAAGTGGCATCCCATGCCACACACACACACACACACACACACACACACACA